ACACTTTTACCTCCCACTCTCAACGACAGGACAAAACAAAGACCAGCTGTATTCATCAATGGGTCCTTGTTCTGCACATAAAGGCTAATTACATTTTGCTTCAAGCCTACACATGGAAAACTTTACTGCGGCTGTCCCTGTCCCAGCCAGCCGTGCCGGCCCAGCTGACGCAGGCCCAGGGCTGCACACAGTCAGCGGGGCTCCAGACAGCCCCACTGCCTCTGAACCGCAGGCTTCTGTCCAAAATGGGGGTGAGGGATGGCCACCCCAGCGGCATCTCCCAGTGACGGAGAGACGAAGCATCCATCACGTGTTGTTCAACTCTCCTGGGGAGACGACACCACTGGGGCCAGTCTTCTCCAAGGCCCATGAATTTCAGAAACGCACGCGCACCACGCCCAGGGCAAGTCCGTCCTGACAGCCTCTACTCGTGAACAACAGAATAGCTGACAGTGATTAGTGACGGCGACTACTGCTGTCACTGTCCTGGGCACTACACACACCCCTAATTACTCTTCACAGCCACCCAGTGTCCTGACTACTATTATGCCCATTATACAGACGAGAAAGGAGAGACACAGAGGTCAATGGGCTTATCCAAGGACACAGACAGTAAGCAGTGGACCCCAGTCATCCACTCAAAGCCCACGTTCCACGATGCCTCCCCCACCCTCTTCCTGCATTTTCTGTCAGTAGGTTTTTAAGAATCCCTTCCTTCAAAGAGAGAAAATACATCGTTTTGAAATGTTTTAAGGCCATTTGTGAAAAGGTTCGCCACCGGCGGGCTTATATTCGTATGTATTAATGAAAAGATGTCTAGTCTAATACGATATGCGTAGGTCTGGCCTGAGGCAGATAAGACAGCAACAAACCTTTCCCAGAAAATAAAAGGGGAGAGGAATGCGGAGGGGGAAACTTCATGCGGGATCTCAAAGACCGAAGCAATTGTCTCAGAAGTTAAAAGAAAGTAGTAATTATTATCTCAGTCCATTTTCTGCATTTTTTGTGGATTACTTACTCTGGGAACCATTTACAGTTAAGTGTTTGGCCCTGGGCTGCCTTTTGTTAGCCGTCCATCTCTGATGTGGGAAATGCTGATCCAACTGAGCCTTCATCCACACCCCACCCCGAACCCCAATCCCACCTGGCCTCCGTGGAGCTTTGGGCTGGTCCTCGGGGGATCAGCCTCGCCAGCCCTGTGTTTTCACAGACTGTCCTCCTTTGCCTCCAGTAACCCCTCACCTCAGCTCATCTTTCCACCTCAAATCACAGGCCACCCCCTTCAGGAAGGCTTCCCGGACCCTCCTGTCCTTTGGCTCCAGCTGGGTGGGGTCCTACGTGGAGACCCGCCATCCTCATGGTCAGTTCCCCCTCCCCCGCTGCTCCGCTGGCTGGGGGGAGTCCCGGCAGGCGGAGGGAGGAGCGTAAGGTCAGGGGTTGCTGGTGCTGCCCTGGATCCCTGCCCCTTCCCAAAGGCCACAGCTCCTTTCCAGCTGGCCCCCGCAAACAGAGGTGTGGTGAGGTAGGGCCAGTGCTTGCTCAGGATGCCTCGACCCCTCTGGTCTCCTCCCCGCCGTGCCCTGACCTTCCAAGTTGGAGGAGGCCGTCTGTCTTCTGCGGACGCCCTAACGGCACAGGGGCTGTGCTCACGTCCCCTCTAACACGGCAGTGGTGATACTGGACCACGATGGCTTGTCTTCCCCGAGCCTTTTATCTCGGAACTGCCAGAGCCCAGCACAGGTCTAGGCACAGAGGAGGCCTCCAGGAATATCAGGAGGCTAACAAGGGGGTCTGTCACCTTTGAGTCATGCCCTCCAGGCTTGTTCTCTCCACGCACACGCACGTACCCGACACATCTCTGCCTCCCCCCTCTCTGGAGGAGATGAGAGGATTTCCTGCTGTGATCACAGGAGGGGACACACCCCAAGAGCACCCACGCCCTGTCAGTAGTCTGTAGCAACTGCCACCGTCCTGGGACATACGCGATGGAACGACCGACCCCCATGCTTTCTGATTCTCCTTTCCATCTATTAGTTCAATGAAAACGATCAAGTAACATGTAGATTTTCACCTACTCAGATTTTGAGGGGAAAAACATCTTTTTGGCTTGAAGATACACTAATCTGATGGGAAACAGTCTAGAGACGTTTCTCCTGGGGCCCCGCCCACCATCGTCATGTCTCATCCAAGGCTGGCGGCCTGGGGGTCCTAGGAGAGGTCTGGGCTCAGGAGAAGCGGCCTCTGGTGCTCCCCTGGGTGACCCTGCTGATTCAGGAGACCCCGGATCTAATGATCTTACCCGTCACATGACAGAGCCGGCTGCTTAGGAAAAGCCCGGGGTCCCTGCACCTATAAACAGTAACTTAGAAAAATACTTGAGACTGAAAATCACCCCGTCATCTCAAGAGGCACCTCTGACCCCCACCCTGGGAGTGGGAGCAGGATCACCTGGGAACAGGTGACTGGGCTGCTGGTTGGCAACTGGTGGTTCTGGCTGATACGGGAATCATCCCCCGGCGTCACCCTGGCCTACAGCAAGGCCAGCAGAGGCTGGGGATAGGGAGCAGACCGCCCTTCCTCTCTCGCTCTGTCCCCCAGTCACTCTCCGGCTGCTGCATTCCCTCCTTAGAGGAGATGCAAGCCTGTGAGGGGGCTGGGCGGGGGAGGGGGTGTAAGCCCTTCCTAGATGCCTGTTCTCTGTGGCTTTGCTTCTTCAACCCCTAAAGCAGATTACATGGACACACATTTTCTGTGTGGTTTTGCAGAAGCCCAAGAAGAAAATAAGAAGTTATGAATCTAAACCAGGGCCCAGGACTTGGCCATCCTGTGACAGGTGGCATTCTGAGCTGTCAATTTCCGACAGTTTCAGCAGAGGCTCGATGTCACCAGGCAATGAGTGCACCTCCCCAGTGTGCACGCAGGAGACACTGGCTTCTGGAATTTGAGCTTTGGTGACAGTCTCAGATCACTGGCTTTTCAACTGAGATCCACAGGAAGAACCACATTTTCCGTTGCAAGCCAATAACTATGTATTTTCAGATTTATACACATAATTTAAACAAAAGTGTCACAAAACAATACCTAACTTTACTAAATGCCATGAGCCATGACACTTTCTATTCTATTGTTTGTTTCAGATTCTATTTCTTACCTAACTAGCTGGTCGCCATTCATGATTCCACAATTGCGACCCAGTTTGAAAACCATGGTCTTAGATGGGTTTAGAGGTTGGCTGCACAAATTTTTTTAAAGTGCATAATAAAGCAAATTTGAATTGTATAATGATAGTCTATAACAATGCACAAAATGCAGCTCTGCCTTTTAAGAGGTGTGGTTTAACAAAAATTAAATAAATCAGCCAAAAACAGTGAACTAATCCAATATACCATCACTAAAGTCACTATGAACTTTGTTGGCAAGTAAAATGACATGGATGAGAGAGGATGAATGAAGGAATTAACTTATCATCTTCAGATCAAACTATTTTATAGAAGCAATGCTACAAACTGAGGCTCGAGCTCTGCGACAGATGAAAATGTTATAATTTTGAAACATCAAATTTCCAGAGAAAAACAACCTATGTAGTAGAAAAAAGTCCAGGCAGAAATAATAGAAAAACAAAGATGACACGCTGGCAGAAGAGAGAACCCAACACGACCCCGAGGAGCGCCAAGGTAATGACAGTTGGTACGTCTTGGAGGGTGAGGAACCCTCAGGCTGTAGTTTGGTGGGGGGTGGGGGGGAAATGCACCTGCCAGCCCATCGACAGCGATGCCCTGGGTTGGAAGGGTTAATACCAGAACCACCAATAGAGTGTAATTTTACTGGTTACCATACCTTAGGATCAGCTCTAAAGTCACATTTCTGTACACCAAGAGGAGGGGAAAACAATCTGGTGGGTTCCACCCAGATTAGCTATGCCAGCAAGTCAGCTGGAGTCGCCAAGACTGACCGGGATGTTTTAGTCTTCACGAAGAAGTTCTGTGCTCATGATCGCAATCGGTTCCGATCACCAAGCTCGGGGAGCTGGGCTCTGAAGGTGTCGAGTTACTAAACAACCCAGTGAAGGTCAAGAGCCCACCCACCATGTGCCCCGAGAGCAGCTGGCCCGGCAGCAACCTCAAGGGCCCAGGGCGAGTGTGCTGGGGCAGAGGGATGCCGAGCCCAGCGCCAGTGCCCCATGCGGCGGGAGCCGGCGGGGAGGGCGGGGCTTTTCAGAGCCACTTCCCCACTCGAGCGCCCACCTAGGGCCTCCAGAGAGGGACAACTGTCGGGGGTTGGGGGTACCCAGTTTTTGGCTAGAGATGGGAGGAGCCTCTCAGAACAGGAAAAAGTTGTCAAACTTTAGCCTGGTGTTACTGGGTATGAGTTGTTGCTTCTTCATCTTTCTTGATTTGTATCAGTGTTCTTTCTTCCTTCCTGCTGTTCTGTGTGGAGGGTGGGCTGTCAACAGTGTACCCACAGTAGATGACCCATTTCCTTCCGACCAGAGCCTTGTGTGATACACCTGCCCAAACAGGCACGCTCCCTTTGTGTACGTGTCTGCCCACAGACGCCCAGCACTGTCACGTGTGATTTGAACAAATACACCTGTGTGGGAGCGAAGGACTTGGGCACAGGTAAAAGGTGATGTGCTTTGCACAGACCAAGCTCCACAAAACGCCCCAAGTGTCACAGCATCTATAAGCTGACTCTTTTCCAAACTTTCTTAGCAAAAGGCACAGTGGTGACCAGGCTTCACAATAATTAAGGGGGAAAAAAAGCTTCAGTTGGAAGGATTGTTCTAACAACACCAGAGCTTACTGTCACGTCTTGGGCAGGTCCTGGGAACAACACCCTATTCCTTACAAAAGCTCAGAGGCCAAGGATCTTCTAAACCCTGTGCTGATCTGCAAAGCCAACAGACTGGAGGGGGAGCAGGGAACTCTCTCATGAATTAGCAAACTCGGGAGATACCTGACCAAAGGCATGCAGATGGAGGAAATCAGGCAGAGACTTACTTGGCAGTAATTTCTTCATCATATTTGGTTTTCAGGTCAAATAATTCTGTTCGAGTTTTTTCCAGGGCTGAAAGGCAGAGGACATAAAACCATAATGTAAGACATTAATTGTTCAGATTAAATTAGAGAGAAAAGTAGACATATATTCTCATTTCAAAGGAGGCAAAGATCACAAAAGTACACACAGAATGGAACAGAAAATCCCCTTCCATGGCCAGCTCGCCTCACTGCACACTCCTCTTCCAAGATAACCACTGTTACTAGTTTGGTGTGCAGATTTCCTGCTTTTAAACAAATTTTACTATTAAAATTTTTTCCATACATAATTGGATGTAATGTGTGTGTGTATATATATATATATATATATATATTTTTCACCCCCCTCCCTAATAAATAGGACGATACAGATATCTTCTGATGCTTGCCCTATGCCCTTGGCAGAAGCACGTTGGGACACAGGCAATGACAGTAGCAGCTGGCTCTTGGACAGGGCTTGTCACATGCCTGGTGCTTCGGGAGACCTGGAAGGGAAGGTGCTGGGTAAGGAGCCTGGACTTTGCCACTTCAGATAAACGCCGCCCAGCTGGCCTCCCAGGAGGCACTGACATTCCCAGCAACACCCAGAGCACGACCACTTCCCTCTGCTCTCACCAGCAGTGGCTACTATCAGTTAAAAGAAAATTTTTAACAGTCTCACAGGCAAAACAATCTTTCACTGATTTAATGAGCATTTCCCTGACTCTTAAAAAAATTCCGTGCATCTCGTGCCACGAGCGTCTCTTCTGTAAACTGCCTGCTCCCGCCCTTGGCCCGTTGTTCTCCTGGGCTGCGTATCTATTTTGCTTGATTTTCAGGTGATCTTTCTAGTTTTTGGATATTATTTGTCTGTGAATGTGTGGTGATGATTTTCTCCCACTCTGCCATTTGTGTTTTTTTTTAAACTTGGATTATGATGTCTTCTGATTTTTTTTTCCACACTGAAGTTAAATATAGAGTGCAGTTTCCCTTTCAGAATAAAAAGAAAAAAAGGCACAAAGAAGTTTAAAGAAGTGATGAAAACCTCGGCACGACCTTTTTTGGTATATTTAAAGTTTCAGAAGTCTGCATTACTGTTCTCCTTTAACTTCACAGGGTGGAAATCAGGCTTCAACCCCCTCCCCGCCATTATTGTTCCAAATGAGATGTCAGCCCTTGACAGTTTGGAGATTTAGACGTGTTTGTTGGAGAAAGAGCAGGAAGAAAGGATGGCTTGTGAAAGTGATGCAAATGGGATGCAAAGCCTCCCACCTTGACACCACGACTCAGCACGGGTGACTCATGCAGTCGAGGTGGAGAAGCTGCCTGTTGTGGGGGGGGTGAGGTGTCTGAGGCACGAAGGGGTGTGGGCTCCTTCCCTCCTCCAGGCTCCCTGCGCCGGGGCGCCAAGTGTCATAGGGGACCTGGAGGGACTGGGAAATGGAGCAAACCTGCCTGGTGTCAGCTTTGCCTGCAGCCACCTGACCAGCAGGAAGGAGAGCACACCTGTTTGCAGAGTCTGAACTTTATGTTCCGCCTCTTCCAGCTTTGAGGTGGTAGACATCTGGGTCTCCTGCAGCTTTCTGAAAAAGCAGAGAAAAAAAGCCAGATTGGTCATCGCGTTAACGAACTCACAAATGTCTTGTGTGTCGTGGAGCTCCGGCGATGCGCTGTCTCCACTGGGACGCATGGCCGGGTACCACTTGACCACCCGACTCTGCACCCACGCATCACAGGAGGGGAAGCGTGCATCTTTGGGACTTGACGTGAGGTAACTGATGTAGGTTATCCTAAATGTAGCTTGTTCTTAAATGCCAGATATTAAAAAGAGAAGAAGAAAAAATCATCATCACGCACTCATTGTTTTCTGAACTTAGCCCAAGAAGAATGACACATTTACATTTTGCTGACGCTGTGAAGGAATTTATCGGAATAAAGGATGTACTAAAGAGATGTGACAGCTGTTCCGTTTCTGTTAGAATGGAATGCAAATGCAACTCAAATACCTAATGGGGACATTCTGAATGTTTTCAGCCGCATTCCATGTATTTAAATTTCCCATGATCTCCAAATGAATTCCCTGGTCAATAAATAGCATTCCTTCCTCCTCATTGGCAGAAAAGTCTCTAAAAATAAGGTTATTATTTTTACATCATATGAATATAACACATGCTCTTGTAAGAAGAAACCTGGGAATACAGAAAAGTAGAAATTACACACTTAAAAAGTCACCCAGATTTCCATCATCTATGGAAAAGCATCACTGACATTTTCACATATTTCAATTGTAAATGCTCTGAGTTAAAAAAACAAACAAACAAACCCAAACCACAAATATTATAAGAGCAGGGAAGGTAAAAATGTCCTTTTCCTTCCTTGGCTCTATTTGTACTTCCCAGATAGACTTCTTTTGTAGCTTTCTAAAATCTTTCTAGATGTACAGAAATACAGCGCAACGTGCAAATACACTGCAGTGTACTGTAAACTCGGGTGTGATATATTACAGCGTAATATATACTCCCCGCCCCTTTGTTTTAATACAAAAGGGATCAGAGCGCTTACGGGACCCTGCAGCTGGCTTTCCCACTTATCTTGAGCCGTGGAAAACTCCAGCATAGGTAACTCCTCCTCTTCTTACTAAATAACTGACCCGAGCCTCGTTGGACCCTTAGATGGCTCATCATTCCTTTCTATCAAACAATTCCACAACGATCATGGCATAGATGTTGCTGCATAATTCCGACAGTGAATTGGCTGGCTAAAATTCTCACAGAGGGATTACAAGGGTGAAAGGGTCTGTGGAGTTTGGGGGGTTTGTTTTGAGAGCTATTGAGAAACTTTCCAACAAAAACCTTACCAATTTAAACTCTCGCCAGTGACATTCGAGAGTGTTCTGCTGTGCCAACACTGGGTAAACTTAAACTGAACTTCACTGCTGAATAAAGCTGAGCTGTGCTTTGTGTGGACTGTCTGCGCATCTCCTTTGCCCATTTTTTGCAGCACTGATCTTTTCCTTACTAATTTGTAAGAGTCCTTTGTTTATACAGAAAATTAGCCCTTTTTCCTATGTGGTGTAAATATTTCTTTCCAGTTTTTTGATGGTTTAAAAATGTTGTTCATTGTTATTTGTTTTTAAGACGTCTGTATTAAATCTGAAGCAGTCACATTTATGTCAATTTTATTTTATGCTTAGAAAGATCTTCCCACTCTAAGATTATTAAAAACAAATTATTGGCCCACATTTTCTTCTAGTATGTACATGATTTAATTATTCATATTTCTATCCTAGATCTATTTTAATTTTTTGGTGTAACGAATGAGGTAAAAATCTAGCTTTATCCCCCACTCAACTGGTCAGTCAGTTATCTGCGTCTTTTTTTGGCGGGGGGAGGAAGTAATTAGGTTTATTTATTTATTATTTTTTAACGAAGGAACTGGGAGTTGAACCCAGGAGCTTGGGCATGCTAAGCACACACTCTACCATTGAGCTATACCCTCCCCTGCATCTTTTAATATAATAAATCCTTTTACCTAATTGAAATGAATTTCATAGGAATTTATCTCTACACTTTCATAACGCGTGGGTTTGCGCCGTGCAGCTGTAATCACGCTGTGTATAATTCTGTATCATGCGTTTTCCACTTCACGTTATGCTGAATACATTTCTGGTGTTTGTGTGAATTCAACACAACTGTTATTTAAATGACTGCACAACGTTCCAGTTAGGGGTGGCCTTTTTTACAGACCCATTTCTGGTTGGCAGGGCCTTTCGATGGCTTGCATCCCCTCCCTCCCCCCAGTGATCAATAACATGGTCGGAAATCTTTTGGAAGTGAAGTGCCCTCCCCGGAAACAACTGAGGGCCAGGGCCATATCTGCTGGGAGGAGAGCGCCCTCAATCTTCAGAGCCCTGACTCCACGGGGGCCATGCCCAGCCCGTCTCCCCTCAGTGTGGGTGTGGGGTCCCCTGCAGAGCTGGGCTTGGCGCTGAGGGACTGGCTTTGATCCCTCGGTGAGGACTCTGGGAAGTCAAGTCTGACCTCCCAGGAAAGGGAGGCCCAGGCTGCAGCGGTGGGCCGGGCTCTGTGCCCACCTCTGGGTGCCTCGCTGGGGGGTTGCAGGCAGGTCCTTGATCTGAGGCCTGGTTTCTCCATCTGGAAAGTGAGACCATCTACTCCGCAGGTCGGACCCGGGCCCTCGCTGAGACAAACTGAGAGGGGCTGGCATTGAATGTGGTGGTCACTCTTCTCTTCTAAATGAAGCCAGGTTAGCGGTGCCCCAGGAAGGCCTCAGTGATGTCCGAGGCTCTCCATGCAGTCCGCCTCACAGACGTCCAAGCAACCACATTCCAAGTCAGCGGGAGGCACCCACAAAACCTCACTGCCAGGCCTGCCTCTCACTTGTAACCAGACATTCAGTGCCTCCTGTTAATGGACTCATGTTTCTTCCCAGCAGAGTTAAAATTTTAAACCTTTTCACCAAACATCTGAAAAACCTGACTGATGTAACTCGAATCAGTAAGTTCCACAGTCCTCATGGTTGTTACCAGAAATCTAATGTTCATTTAACTTTCACACTGGTGAAAAACCAACTTATTATTTGTGGCAAAGTTTTGGGTGAAGCAGGCCATCAGAAACCTGACACTCACAGTGCTTGGATGATGCGTTAACATATTTTACTGATACTGACTCCCTGATGTATGGGGCACTGTGACGGGATGAAAAGAGGCAAAAACAAAACAAACAAACAAACAGACAAAAACTCTGAGATACTGTGTCTGTGATGTTAAATATCAAAATTCACTTAAGAAGGTAACAGGAGCTCTGTTCGCCCAGGGCTTCCCAAAGAGGACACGCAGCAGGGAACGGTCCTGCCCCTCTTGCCTCTCCTCAGGTACAACCACCAGGTGCCAAGCCACCCGCACACACTTCGTGCTCAAGCCCCAGCCCCACATGGCCCCAGCAGACACACCTGGGCCTCTGACCGGATGACACGATCCACCAATGGGGAAAGAAGGGTACGTTTTACCCAAGGTCCTCTCACAAATTACAGGATCAGGGACACCTTTATTTTCCCAATGAAATTGTGCCTTAGAGCCCCTGGGAGTTTGGTTTCTAACCAGGGCTTATTTCATAGGCACATTTAAAGACCCGTCCTGTGATGGGAAAGGCAGGAGTAAAAACCACGACGTCAGCAAGTCAGCGCGCGCACACCCCAACGCAGGCTCACCTCTCCTTTTCTGCAAAATCATTTTGTAACTTTTGTTCCTTTTCGAGAGCTATGGTCTCGGCTTGGTTCTTCAGAGTCTGTTCATATTCTCGGATTTTCTCTTTAAGTGCTTTTATCGTAACCTCTGCAGAAAGGGGGGAAAAATAACAACAAAAAAAAAACTCCAGTAAGAGAAACACAGGTCCACTGGCTACACATACCAGCTTTCGTAACCTAGCAGGATCGGCGTGTTTTAAACTTTAGCTCTTCAATTCTGACACGAAATCAATAGTTACGAGTCCCTTCGGAGACCTTTTACTCCCTAAATGTTAAATTGAACTTTAAACATTTAGGTTGAGGAGGATCAATGGATTTTGCTGGGAAGAAGAACTATGTCTCTCTGATACAACTTAAGAAAAAGAAGGGGGGAAATCAATGGTAAAATATAATACCGTCTGATTGATGAACCTTAAATTAGTCCTCTATCAAGGGAAAATTAATAACATTTTAGTGTGGGTTTAAGTACTTTCTTACAAAGAAAACAGTTCATAATTATGTGCACATTTTGGAAGAAGGCTACAGACCGTCCTAGCCATGGGCCGCAGCTCTGTTGTTTCAGAAGTGATGAAACGCACAGCGTGCTAACTGGACACAGCGCGCATCATCTCCGGCTAGGAGGGACCAGACCTGGAGCTGGGGTGCAGACAGCACTCTCCCCCCAGGGCTGGAGCCTGGCAGACCTGGGTGGTGTGTGCAGAGCTGACATGGGGCCCAGGGGAGCCACATCTGAGGGAGGGTGAGCCCCTGGGGTGCGGGCAGCAGTGCCGCGTGATGAAGCCCTGCTTGGGATACAGGGCACTCTGGGAGGCAGGGCCGTCCCCAGAAAGCCCAGGTCCCCCATCACCAAGCACAGGTTCATGGCAGTCACTTCAGTGACTCAAAATGGGAACATGAGGGCAGATGCAATGAACAGAGTAGGGTCCTAACTCAGACCCGTGGGTGGCTCTGGGACAGGACTGCTCCGCCTGGTCCCCCTCAGGCACCCCCACAGCACCGAGCGGGCCAGACGGTCCCCAGCAGAGTGCTGTGGTCCCAGGTCTGAGGACAGTGGAGCTCCTGGGGACCGCACCTGCCCTGCCCCAGGCCATCCTGCAGAGGGCAAGGCCGAGCTTCTCAGTGGTCCCAGTGCCTGCCACAGGTCGGGGCTCAGGAAACGGCCAAGGTGCGAGTGAACACAGGAGCCAAGGCCGGGCTACAGGGTGAGGTCCAGACAGGGCAGTGACAACAGGGCCCCGGGCTCCTGTGGCAATACCGCCTGCCAGTCTCTGCCGAGTAAGCACCTGGGCTGGTGGCCCTTGTTCCTTCAGGCTGTGGCTCACGTCCGCTTCCACTCCCCGCGCTGCACAGACACGCTGGGCGAGGCAGGAGCACGTCAGCCGGGCGTTCATACCCACGTGGCTTAGTGGATAAAAGCTAAATGCCCTTTTGTTGAGAAAAGCAATGGCCCTTTCCATGAAATGGTACCAGAGGGTTCTCCTCAGAGGAGGAGAGAGGGATTAAGACCAGTGACCCTGGCCAGGCATCTGAGGGAGGCGGGGGTGGGAGGGGGCTTCGGCCTTTCGGGCTGGTCGCGTGGGGCCTGGGAGAAATGCCCTGGGAGCACAGTGGTTAGCGACACACGTTCCTCCCCAGCCAGAGAGGTGGGGCTGAAACCAGGCAGGAGTGGAACACTTCCAGAACGGACACCAGGACAGGTCACCTCCGGAAACGCCTGCACGTTCTTTTAACTGGATAGTCTGCATGACAGTCAGGTACAGCATGTCTGCCCTTAATGACGGGGTGGAAACATCTGGACGGCTCTTAGACGCCCGGCCTCACTGCAGTGGGCTTCTCAGTGGGACCCCATCTGTGCTCCTTCCAGGGGGGTCGGAGGCACTGCCTGGGGGCCCCTTTGCCAGGGAGAGCCGCTCAGGGGGCCAGGGGCCAACTTGTCTTGGAGCCTCCAGCACCTGGGCCCCCTTCACTCATCTTGAAATGGGGTGGGGGGAGAATTAGAGCACGTGAGAGAGAAATTCCTGTCCTGCTCCAATGTTTTGGCAATCCACACTACAGCTGTGGCAAATAAAACAAGTGGTGTGCGTGCTAACACTTTCAAATCAAAATCCTTTTTTCTAGTGTGAAGAAAAGAGAGGAAAACGCTATTTCTTCTGGAGGCTGGGAAAATCTGTAAAGATACCAATAAAGAAAAAGGGTAGGGGGTGATTTCTAGAAAGAAACCCACAGTGCTCAGTAAGAGCCGTGGATACTGACTGCCTCGCCCGCATCTCTAATCCTGCAACAGCCCTACGCTGTTAGCGGCAGAATCCCCGACACCCTGCATCCAAGAAAACCAGGCTTTAACGACGTGACCGTGCGCTCAAGGTCGCACGGCGAAGTTGTGGCAAGAAAGGGGCCCGGTCAGGTCTGCCGGCCTCTGGAGCCTTTGTTCTTGAGTCTTTGACTCTATTTAAAAATTCCCATCCAGTGAGGCCTTTGGGGAGGAAATGGCCCCACTCCCAGTTATGGCTGCTCACTGGTAAACTGGCCCTGGGGCACCGACCAGGCAGGTGGGAGAGGGCGACCTGGTGGAGCCCTTGGTCCACCCACACCGCCCTCCTGCCCTCCAACAAAACCAGCCAAACTGAAGGAAACCCAAATGGTGGATCTGTCACTGGAGTAAGATGCCAGAGGTCACTGGAAGGAAGCAACAGGCAGAGCCTTTGTGGGCAGTGCTGCAATAAAGGCAGAGGGTACACCTCCGTGGCTTCTTTGTCCCCTGCACCCCTGGCCAGAGCCACACCCTGCTAGGGGGAGGGAGCACTTCTCTCACTGCACCCCGCCTCTGAAGTCCCACACCGGGCTCCCCAGCGGCCCAAACCGTTCCCCGAGTCCCACAAGCTCACCACTTCCTGTGGGGCCAGACTGAGGTGGTGTTCCCCCCGGGAGGGGCCGCCCTCACGGCTCAGGCCCCGACCTTCCCGCCTCTTCCTGGGTCCTTTCCGCAGACCACCCCGAGGACGCCTTCTAAACTCTTTCCCAAGTAATTCCTTCTCTGGCCTCGGAGCTTATACAGAAGGCCGCTCAAGGGAAGCCCCCTCCCCGCCCCGCCGGCAGTTTGTTCTCCTCTCTGTCGCCTTCCTCCCCCCGACCCCAAACAAAACCAAACAGGCCACTTCTACGTGGACCTGGCTGAAAACCCTGCAGTGGCGGTCAGATGGGGTTGTGATTTTTCTTCACGACAAGGCAGCCACGAGGCTCCTGACTGGGACCTGTCTGGATTGGAGGTGTGGGAGAAATGTCTTTGTTCTTCCCTGACAGGGAAAGCCAGGCAACCTTTGCCGTCTCTCCTTGATGATGGCTGGACAACCACACTAAAAGGCTGTTTTGTTTTCCTTCATGAAATTCATCATGAGGAGGGTGCCGCCAACAAGGACGTGGGGTGCTTAAGCATGGGGATGTGAAAGCTGCATCTAAAGTCTTAATGTATCGGCAGCAATTATTAAATGACTTACTGCGTGTTGATCACAAGCTGGTTCTCTGACAGGTGTCACCCGCAGGCAACGCATCCGTCTTTTAAAAGGCTGATCCTATCATGTGATGATTCAGGAAGGATTGGTCCCGTCGGGCAGGCAATAAAGTCGTATGTACTTATTGCGCAGAGGAGAAGTCTGCCTTCTCAACAGCTAAGCATCATCATCACCTCTCTTTAACGACGCTGACTCTTGCCCCACCCTGACTTTCTGACAGTCAGAGCTAGTCCCAGCAGTACAGGGAAGGCAATTAAAAAGAAAGAAAGAGAAAGCCCAAAGCAAAGAACAAATACATCTTCCACCAACCTTGATTTTTCACTTCGGCAAATTCCTTGTTGTATTCTTCAAGAGTTTCCCTAAGTTTCTGGTTCTCTGTTTCAATGTCGTGCAGGCGCTGCACTTTGAGCTGGAGCTGCTGCCCGAGGTCCAGAGCCGGGACGGGATCTGCACGAGAGGGAGACATGTCATCCCACTGGGGACACAGATGAGCCACCTTCCTGGCCTCACAGAGGCTCAGAGCTGGTCTCGTGGCTCCCAGGGAATTAGCTCCCCTGGGGATCGTGGCCGGATGGATGGGGCGCTTCTCCGTGGCTGCTAAGGGATGTGCACACAGACCCACCCAGGGTCCCCTGTGCATGAAAAGGGGCAGGCTCCCTGGGATCTGCCCATCGCTTGGGCCTGGTATGACACTGGAGAGATTTTCCGTTCCCTGATCTAACTGATAGGAAGAGAGATACACATGGCAGCAGTGAGGGGAGGACCCAGGAAAATCACTCGTCACCTAGAACCACACTCGGAGGAGGCAGCGAACGCGAAGATGCTGTAAGCCTCAAGTTTCCAATAATTCTTAGGAAGTTGGAAATCACACCTGACACCTGGAAAGCGTCCAGCTGTCACAGAACACTTTTACGGACATTTTCTTGTTTGAGCCTCGGGACAGTCCTGGGAGACAGTTGTGAGACGCGGACCATGTTCCTTCCACAGAAGGGGAAACTCAAGCTGAGGGAGGTGGGGTGATGTGCCCAGGACTCCTGGCTGGTTAGTGGGCAGAGAGAACTCAACCCCAAGTCTGTGAGATCAAGTGACCATCCTTCCAAAGAGGAAGGTGCCCCGAGGGGGCAGGCTCTGTATCAGGACACTCTATTCAGCACAGGACCACTCTCCAACACGATCCTCCTTTACTAATGAAGGATGCTTAGGAGTCAGCCAGGGCTTAACAGCTAGTGAGCTGAAGATGGGAGAGCCCCACGTTTTTGCCCTGGGTTGGGGGGTTCTGCCTTTCCCCAGAGGCACAGCTGGTGGCCCAGCCACTGTGACTCGTCGTGGGCCAGTGGGCCACTCAGCGAGGAGGCCACCACACACCTGGTTATAACACAACCAGCAGGAGAGCGACACCTGGGCCAGTTACGAGAGGCCCTGCAGCCAGCTCAACGTGCCGTCCACCATCGGATTTATGGACGAATCTGAGCGTAAAATAGGAGACTGCGGACACGGGGTTTACAGTACTGGTGAGGCCTTTGCCTTTACCATTAATTCAGCCCAAAGTGGAGAGACACTAAATGTTCTTCTGGCATCAACTCGGTCTTTATTTTTATTTCTCCTGCCTGAAAGGCACTTACTGTCCCCCTGCCGGGCACCAGTGGGCCACTTCCTCTAGGACCCTCGGGCCCCGCTGGGGTAGAAGCATCCGCGAGTCTGCTGGGCTTAGAAAAGATCACGGAAGATATTTCTGGTATGGACGCCAGCCTCACTTGTGAGACGGCTGCAAGGATTTAGTCTCCGGCTGAGGAATGCTAAACACCGAGCCCAGTGGATCAACAAGGGTATATGTTCAAGAGTTCACTTAATTTCTAAACACCAGAGCCAGTCATTTTTCAGACCACCCTTGGTTCCTGGAAACGAGGCCTCGGTCCACCGGGTCTCGGTTGGCGCGTCCGCCAGGAGCCAGGACCGCCCTGAGATGCCAGCATCTTCGCGGGGTTTACAGAAGGCAGGCACCGGGGTGCGTGCAGCACAGTGTTTAACCCCAACACCATCCGTCACGTGAAATCCCGGCCGCGGGGCACTGATTCTGTGCGCATGTACAGCTCATGGCTGCATCACTGCCTTCTCACTGGTGGTTTCTCAGTATTATTTTTATCAGTGTTAAAATATTTATATTAAATTCGATTTCAAAAGCTATTTTGGGGAGATGGTTCCTTGTAAGTAGGAGCAGTAATAACACTAAAGAGTGAACATCCTCAGAACATTCTGGGTGCAGTTTTTTTTTTTAATCTCAGTGTCCCCTGGATATCTTCCCACTCCCCACCCCCTGACCTCTCCTGCTATGGCCTCGTGCTGGACAAATGGCCTGAAGGAGGTAACAGACAGTATGCCCATGGTCCCCTCCACGTCGAATGACAACTTGAACTTGAAAGAGAGGTCAGGGAAGCATTGACAAGAAGGAGAACCCCTGTGCGTGTATAACATTCTATTAATGTTCACTCGTGTAAGTTTCCTGGCACAGTTGCCAGTACAAAATGGTATTTTTAAAGAGCTAAGCTAGTATACTGCCCGTCATCCTTAAAACTTCAGTTGACAACTTTTCCAGGCCATTCCTTTTTAGAGGCCGGGACCCATTGTGTCTGCTTCGAATAAAATATAGTTTCCCTCGTTCGATTCAGCAAGGAATTCAGTGACATATAAAAAATAACACGCACATTATCAAGCGAATGGTAACTAGGCCCTTTAGACAAATTTTCAAAGCATTATATTGTAAATGAAAACTCTGGCAATCTCATAATTATTCATTATGGCATGTATATTTAATTTAACACGATTAAAGGTTAATGCTTCAGTAGCAGAGCTGGTCACAGAATAAAGAATGAACTGAATGTTCAAACATCTCTATGCATTAAACTTCAAACTTTACTACAGTACAGCTGAATGACTCACTGCCTACAGCATTTGAATACTGTTTTGGATTATGTAAAAGGCATTGCTAAAATACCTCTTAGGCTTAATTTTTATTACTTGTATTAAAGGAACAGCTAATTACCACATGACAATATAATGACTCTAGCATGTTTGGGCTAGAGACCAAAACAATGAATTTCGGCATGCCAAACCCCAGCCTGCATGTTAATCTTGGGGAAATCATAGCTTTTTGTCTTGTTAATGATTTCCAATGCCATTTAAACCCCACACAAGTATTGTTAGGTCTTATTCTGAACGTCACAAGCCTCCGATCTCAGCAGCTCAATTAGGGAATTGTCTGGGGGAGGCAAGGGCACACACCCATATGTGGAACAGGAACACGCGAAATCCGGCAACCCATCTTCCCTGCCACCTCCAAGACAACGCACTTTCTTGCCAGTGCCATCCACCAACGTGACAGACTTGCAAAGTGTTTTACAATCACCTAATAGTTCATTCCTAAAACACTCTTTGAGGTATTCTAGAGCTCATTATGCAACAAAGGACGCAAAGAACGTTAGTTATAACAAACAATACAGTCACCTGTATTTATTCAGCACGGTCTCTGAAGTACATGTAACATTATCTCGTTAATTCCAGCCATCACGGCCAGAGGTCGGGGGAGGGGGCTCTGCCATGTGTCAGGTGCTGGCATCTCACCCAGGGACGGTGGGGGGAGAAGTCGGCCAGGCAAACAGGTGCGCCAAAGTCTAATTAAGATTTCTGCTTCCTGAACCAGCAGCCAACTAAATTATATTGTCTCTTCAAGTTCTACTATAACAAGTATTCCCTAAGCATCTATCCACTCTGGGTAAGACCTGAGTGAGGCACTGGGACAGACACTCAGCCAAGTCAGCTGGGACCAGCCTCAGAGCAGAGATAAACCATGTTCACAAATAAGGTAAAGCAAGAAGGGCCAGATGAGAAACTGGGAAAGGGAGTTTTTTTTTTTTTTTTAAAGAGGAGACAGAGTTTAGACCTGTGAAGAGGAGACAGTGGGGCAGTCAGTCCATGTGGAAGAAACAGCAGGTAGGGGAGCAAGAAGCAGGGAAGAGGCAAACACAGAGAAAGAACAGTTCTGCCTGACTGCCGGCACCCACACCCACATCTTAGGACATCAGGGCTGTTCTAGGTGCTGGGGGAACAGTGGTGAACAGGACAAATTCCTTGACATTCTACTGATGTGAGGGAGACAAAGACAAAGAGCAAAACCAAACAAAACAGAACACTTTCAGTACTGCCACATGAGAAAACAAGGTGTGGAGAATGGGGGCTGGGTGCTGGAGACAGACAGACAGGGAGGGCCTCCAAGGAGGTGACACTAGGATTGAGATCTGGATGTCGAAGAGGAGAGAAGGTGAAGACACATGGCAGAGGGCTCAGCAGTGCAAAGGTCCAGAGGTGGGAGTGAGCGTGGCAGATATGAGGCACAGAGAGAAGCTGGTGAGGTACAATGAAGGGAAGCGAAAGCAGCAAAGGACAAGTGGTCAGAGGGGGAAGCCTGTGCTCAATGATTTAAAGAAAAAGATGAACACAATTAAGGAGAGAAATAGAAGATATAAAGAAGAATCAAACTGAATTTCAGAGCTGACAACACAGTGTGTGAGGTGCCCTGTTGCACAGCAAGTAATGCAACAGTCTCTTAAAAATACAGTGTCTGAAGTCAGCTAGAGGACCGAGTTTGGATTCAGTTCTACTCCTGATGGGAAAAACCATCAGAGAACAGGACTCTTGCAAGATGAGCCACTGGGGCATGGGAGGAAAACTGCAGTGGTCTAAACCACAGAGAGGTTTGTTGGTTTTCTAGTTGCAAAGTATTTAAGAGTTTTAAGCTTAAAGATGAGTTATACAATTTTCTTTTAAAAAGCTAAGTGTTCCAAATTAGCTGTCCTGTTCTGTGATGGCAGATGGCTATCAGTAATGTGCTGCCTGGCAGACATTTAGGAAAAAAATAAACACATAATCTATGTCTTTGAAGTAAATGTGATGTTTTAATACTTAGTGGGAGGAAAAAAAACTACATCTTGAATGAAACTCATCTACAGTGACAGCATTCTAAAAGTGGGTATTTGGACACGTTCCAATCATCATACAAACTTACAGGCAAAGAAAACATTCTCCACAAAAATGTTTCCATGCCTCAGATCATAAGAGAGGGAGGACAGCACAATGGTTTACAGTGTGGGCCGGACGGCATACGATCGAATCCCAGTGCTGCCACTTACTGGTTGTGCAACCTTACTTAGTATCTTTGTATCTCACTTCCATCATGTATAAATTGGGCAAAAGAATTGGTTCTATACCATGAGGTTGTTGTGAAGATCAACTAAGATAAGATGTGTATACACTTAGGAAACTGCCAGGCACGGAGTTGATACTCAATAAATGTTACCTATTATCAACCAACTCCAGCCTGATGAAATCTTTACCAAAAGGAGTTTCAAATCAGTTGTTAATAATATAAAAAATACAGTATCTCCTGACTAGTT